TCATCTCTTCATGGTTCTTTCTCTCCTCTTTCTTGTTTTCCATTGCCTAGCTATGAAATAGCCTACCTATTAACTTGGGTGTTGTGAACCCTAGCTTGAAACATGTGAATGTTTGTATGGATTGAATGATTTGTGTGTGGTTGTGTTTAATGTGAATGTGGAGGTATTATTCATGAATGATTGTGTTGTTGGAAAGCCTATCAATCTAATTGCCATTCTAACCTAGGTAGAGAGAAACCCCTCTTCCTTTCTTTGAAAGAGGCTTAAATGTTGGGTTTTCTTAGGCAATTCATTGTCTCCTATTTAGGTTAATGCAGGGCAAACCTCCTATTTTGTATTAGCACCTGGGGTTTGGTTGTGGGTGGCCGTCCGAACTCCGATTCGAGGGTGAAGTCTTACCAGCCCTTAGTCAATAGGTCGAGAGACTCACGTTGGTGGATTGGATCAATTCCCTTTCCTCGACCTAGAGACTGAGAGAGTGGCGCTTGGCTACTTGTTGCACTTCCCTAAGGTTTACAACCCCCTTACCACATACGACCATTCGATCCAACAAGTCATAATTGTTAGATAGGGGGAGAAACACCTGGGTGAACTCTTCTCTCATGGGAACAACCTCGATTTACTTTATTTGCTTGTTTTCATTTGTAGTTTTCTTAGTTTTAAACCAAAAAACGTTTGCTAGATAACAACCTAAGCGATTGAAGTAGGGGTACATGGACCGGCCCGGGTTTGACAATTAAAATATACTTGCCCTATACTGCACCTGGCTAGAGTTTATGCTTGAGCTCTAGTCGGGATTAATTCGCGGTGTATCTGTGGTTAGTCAGACCTGGACGACCGCGACACCTGGATCCCTCAACTTGAAGACCAGCTAAAAGAGGGACGCAAGGGATTCAGGTAGGAGCTGCAGGAGGAACTGAGCAAGGAGTGTGAGGCCGATGATGCCAAGAAGGACACCGAGTTGGCTGCCGTGCGGGAAGAATTGGAACGGGTTAAGGAGGATGTTGAGCACTTCCGGAAAGATTCCTTGGAGGGTGCCGAATGAAATAAGAGTTTGATCGACGAGGTGCACAGGCTAAAGAAAGAAATGACGCCGATGGAGGACATCCACATAGCAGAGCTGGTCAACACAGCTGAGGCCACCAAGGCTACATTCCTAGAGTCTGGTGAATTTAAGGAGGCAAACAGAGCCAAGTATAAGAAACTGCTGAGGTACGTTGTTGCCTCCATCCGTCATTGGTTTTGTCGTGAGTACCCCGACGTTGTTTGGGAAGCCAACGCCATCTGGGATGCCGTGGAGTTCTGGGGTGACAACGATGTGAACTTCGAGCTGGCCGCCCCTGCAACTAGTAATACAGGAGATGAGGTCGACGAGATCTCCATAGTCGACGGCGGTTCTGCTTAGTGATCTTTTGTCTTCTATTTTGTTTTGGTGTTTCATTGCTCCTGAGGGAGCCTAAGACAATTTTCGGTTTGCAATGACAATGCTTTCTTTCGCGTGTCTTAATTTTCTTTCCAATATCTTAACCACATGAGATTGGGTTCGATCAGGTTTTGAGATTATTGTCGTGCGTTTGCCCGCAATGGCCTGGCGTTGTGGGAATCTTTGCTCGGAGGCGTTCCAGAAGCGGTCGGAATTTGTGAAGGTAATTGCTTGGAAGCGGTTGAGATTGTAAAGATGATTTATAGATTAGTGTTCGGGGGCGGCTCGATACGAAAAAATTCCTAATTCATCACCCGAGGGGCGGTTGGAATTGCATACAATTATATTGCTTTGGGGCGGTTTGTATTGCGAATTAATTCTTATCACTCGGAGGTGGTTGAATTTTGCAAGTAATTTTTAAGCTTATCGTTTCGACGTGGTTTGGATTGCGAATGATTCTCAAATTATCGCTCGACTGCGGTTCAAAATGTAAGGAAGTTAAAATTGAAATGGAATGCTAAAGCTAAACTCTTAGGGGTGGTTTTAATTGCGAGAGGATCCTTTGAGCGTGTCTTGTAGACAAAATACATTGTAGACTGTGATCTAGGTTATGATTGTGCAAAATGCTTAGTAGCCTTACGAGTCGTCCTTGCCCTATTTCATGAAGTACTTGTTCATATGGATAGCATTCCAAGTCTTGGATATCGACTTCCCTTCCATTGTGGCCAGTACGTATGTTTTGGGGCCTATCTTCTCACTCCACGAGATATGACCTTTCCCATATGGCTACTAGCTTTCCATGTACTTCCTTCTGAGTAATGCGCGATATGTGTGTGAGGCATCCCACCGCCTATAAGGGTGGAGGCACGCGTTGTGCTATGTATGAATGTATGTAATGTCGTATGGATTGATGGTATGAGGAACCCCCGGGCGGTTGGGCCACTACTGGACGCGGTAGATGGTCGGGTCACTACTAGACGGCGAGACGTAACGCAGCAGTTGATCGAGTATGTTGGGGTCACTACTGGACGGCGAGACGTAACGCAGTAGTTGACGGGCATGGACTAGACGGCGGGACGTAACGCAGTGCCATTGCCGAGTTTGGGTATGCAACCGGACGGCGAGACGTAACGCGGTTGGCATACTAGGGTAGGACACCGGACGACGAGATGTAACGCGGTGGTCCTAGTGTTTTGTGTTTGAGTTAAGGATAAAAGTTGAGAACCTCTGTGCGTTAAAGTTGAAAGGAGTTATTAAGAACCTAAAAAGGAAATTCTAAAGATACGATAGGAGTAGAGATCTCTTATAGACTGTTTGATAGTGAAGTTTAAAGGATGAAAGTGAGAACGACTTTCGTCTAAGGAAGGAAGGCATTCCCCTAATAATGTGTTTAGTAAGGAGATTGCTTAGGCAAAGACCTTAGGAAGTAACGACGAGACTGACCCCTTTTCACTCACCAGGTTGAGGATAGTCTAGCAGAAGTGGATCATGAGAAGAAGCAGGGCGAGGCGAGCAGCAGTACCAGCGTCGTCGGGATATCGGAAAGCTCGTGAGGAGTCAAGTTAGATTAGTTAATTATTCTGTTGCATGGTTATTAGTATAAACTGGAGATTCTGTATTAAGTCGTTGTAAGTGTTTGAGATTGAGAATTTTGCACAAGTGTTGGGGCTTTTCGTTAAAAATACTTAAATGATGTCGGTTTGTTTATTTTAAAAAGTGGTTTGGGTTGCTCCAGAGTAACCGGTTTGTGGTTTGAGTTATTGGTTGGTTTTCAAAAAGAGACGGGACGTATCATTTTGGTATCAGAACCGACACTCCTCTGTTTCTTGGCCTCCAAGGAATACTGGAGTGACATTCTGCGTTTTTTTTAAGGTTTCAGTTTTTAAAAAGGAAAGGAAAAAGGAAGTGTCTGTTAAAAGTTTGGCCAAACGAGTCAGTCTTTCGAAAATTTTTAGAATCTCCAGTATACTCTAATCATGATAAGGAAATAACTTTAGGATGCCCTATGGGGTTATGATACGTCTTGGGAAGGAGAAGGAGCAGGTTCCTAGAGGGATCGTCTAGTGAAACCCCTTCACGAGTGAGAAGAGGAGGGTCGAGGTAGCTCATATTCTATGGGGATGTGAGCTGATCAAAATAAGGTTCTTGAAGGAGCCAAACAGTTAGTACATCGACTGGTAGAGCCAAGGAGTTATGGCAAATGTCGCCATAATCGAGAGGAAAGGGTGCAAGGAAGGGTCGTGGAGTTCAGGAGATTTGAACATAGGGCTACAACCCCAAGGAGCAGCTGAAAGTTAGACTTTGGAAAATACTAGGACCACCTAAGCAAGCAAAGGAAGAACTAAGTATATCATAGGGAGCCTAACAAGATGTCATGGGATCAATACATCAAGGCTAGAAGGAGGTACAACTCCTTGCAAAGAGAGTATCACTAGTGAAACTTGGAGTCGGCACAACGAACAAATTTCGAGGTCGAAATTTTTCTTAAGGAGGGGGGAAATGTGATGTCTCGATTTTGGATTTAGGTTCAACATCAACTACCAGGAGAATGGGATCAACATGACAAGCCAAATTGGCATTTTGTTTCACCATGCTTGGATCAAGCTGGGGAGTAAAAAGGGCAGTGAGACACTTATGGTTACACGAGTGCTGCAAGCTAGGGAAACTTATTTAAGCAAAAGGTACCAACAAAGTTGTTATAGTAAGAATAGATGCTCGTGGGAAGGAAGTATAAGAAGAGTGTTGATAGAAAGGATGAGTTCCGAGCAAATTTTGGGGACGAAATTTTTGTAAGGGTGGAGGAAATTTAACACCCCGATAATTTAGATTTAGGTTCGACCTTAATACGTGATCGATTGGGTTGACGGTTACGTACGAAAGATTGCAATCGCGGATTAATAATAATAATAACTATTATATTATTATTATATTTAAAATATATATGACCTCGGGGCCGAGCGGCCCCAAAAACCCTTCCCCCCATTATTTCCCCACGCCCCAGCAACATAATCCCCAACCCAACCCTCTCAATTATTTCCCCTGTGCCGCGAGTAGAAGAAGGAAAAGAGGAAGGCGGCGCGCAGCAACTCCCAGCCCTGCGCGAGGGAAAAAAAAGAAAGGAAGAAAGCAGCAGCGCCGCTCACAATCGACCCCGACCCCATCCCTTTTCGTTCTAGGTAAGGATCATGAACCCCTTCGCGATTTCTAAACTCGACTTATCGATAGCCTAATTTGAAACTCGTATTTTATTAGCGGTGACGTTTGAGGGTTCGATCATCGATCAACGAGGATATCAACGTCCTGGCCATCCAATCTAGTCCTAGGCACGTTCTAGAGGTAAGGGAACTCGATCCCTTTGAGTTAGATCGATCGATTTGGTGATTTTTCGTGAGGATGCAATTCTGGGTTTTTAGCAACAGGCGTTACAGGCTTTTAGTGACAGATTTTGGGTGGTCACTAAAGCTGCTGGGAATTTCCAGAAACGTCTTTTTAGATGTTTTAAATTGTTTCGAGCTTCTCTGAAGGTTGTTTTCTGAATTTAACAATTTTATAAATTGAGCAACATCTAGGAGATGATTTTAATTTAATTTGGGGATTTTTGAAGATGTATTCCTATTTTTAGAAATTGTTCGAACATTCATTTTAATTAAATAAAAATATTTTCGAGGAGTTTATAAGGGTTTGATAATTTTCAACGGGAATAAGTACTCATGATTGATGTAGGAAAATTATTATCCGAATTTTTATGAAGGTTCAAGTCAGGTGAAAAATTCGTCCAAGATAAAAACAATTAAGAAAAATAGTCGGTTGTGAAGGGAGTATTTCTAGAAAGGTTTTAAAGGGGGGTAAAGGGACCTTTGGAGTGAGGTTTGAGGATGAGACTTTGAGTAGAGGGTGTCTGGGTAGATAAAAAGGAGACTTTTAAATCGAGAAAGGGTGTCTTGGAATACGAATTTCTTATTAATAGGTTTCCTAGGATAATCCGGCTAAGGAGGGAAAGAAGGCGAGAAAGTTAGCAGCCGATCGAACTTCGTAGTCTCGCGTAATGAAGAGGTTCACACCGATTAGTAGCAAGGAAAGAGCTACGTCTATTAGAGGCGGAAGGAAGGCCGAGAACTCGACACCGGTGATCGCAACTGGCGGGGGTAAAGTGATGGAGAGGCCCCGAACCTATCCTCCTAGACCACCCGGGGTGTCGGCAGTTCGAAGTTGGCCGCCGAATTGTGGCCTGAGGAGGGACCTTGAAGAGGAGCTCCAATGGTTAGGGTCGTTGAAGAGGAGGACGATGAACCGATAGAGGAGGAGCCAAAAGAGGAAAAACGCGTGGGTCTTGTGCTCGAGAATGCAGACGTTGATGCGACTAAAGAGGTGAGTTTAAAGGGGCTAAAATCTATGTCGTAGGTCTTTTAGTTTCCGTTTTTCGTTCAAGTTATTAATTTTAGTTAATTTTTTAGTAATGCACGATATGTGTGTGAGGCATCCCACCGCTTGTAAGGGTGGAGGCACGCCTTGTGCTATGTATGAATGCATGTAATGTCGTATGGATTGATGGTATGAGGAACCCCCGGGCGGTTGGGCCACTACTGGACGCGGTAGATGGTCGGGTCACTGCTGGACGACGAGACGTAACGCAGCAGTTGATCGAGTATGTTGGGGTCACTACTGGACGGCGAGACGTAACGCGGTAGTTGACGGGCATGGACTGGACAGCGGGACGTAACGCAGTGCCATTGCCAAGTTTGGGTATGCAACCGGACGGCGAGACGTAATGCGGTTGGCATACTAGGGTAGGACACCGGACGACGAGACGTAACGCGGTGGTCCTAGTGTTTTGTGTTTGTGTTAAGGATAAAAGTTGAGAACCTCTGTGAGTTAAAGTTGAAAGGAGTTATTAAGAACCTAAGAAGGAAACTCTAAAGATACGATAGGAGTAGAGATCTCTTATAGACTGTTTGATAGTGAAGTTTAAAGGATGAAAGTGAGAACGACTTTCGTCTAAGGAAGGCATTCCCCTATTAATGTGTTTAGTAAGGATATTGCTTAGGCAAAGACCTTAGGAAGTAACGACGAGACTGACCCCTTCTCACTCACCAGGTTGAGGATAGTCTAGCAGAAGTGGATCATGAGAAGAAGCATGGCGAGGCAAGCAGCAGTACCAGTGTCGTCGGGATATCGGAAAGCTCGTGAGGAGTCAAGTTCGATTAGTTAATTATTTTGTTGCATGGTTATAGTATAAACTGGAGATTCTGTATTAAGTCGTTTTAAGTGTTTGAGATTGAGAATTTTGCCCAAGTGTTGGGGCTTTTCGTTAAAAATTCTTAAATGATGTCGGTTTGTTTATTTTAAAAAGTGGTTTGGGTTGCTCCGGAGTAACCGGTTTGTGGTTTGAGTTATGGGTTGGTTTTCGAAAAGAGACGGGACGTGTCATACGTTCTTGTTGTATGCCTTCGCTACTTTGGACTTTTCTTTGATGGTTCGGACCAGCGCAGTGTCTTGTCGTGCTTCGATCATGTATAGCTGATGCATAAGCTTCTTGTGATTTTCTTCTGAGTTGTAGTCTTGGATTCTCAATGATGGGAAGGCCATCTCAGCTGGTGCGACCGCTTCGGAGCCATACGTTATGGCGAATGGCGTCTCTCCAGTTGCTCTCTTGTAATTTGCGCGGTGAGCCCAAATCACATGTGACAGCTCTGCGGTCCACCCTCCTTTAGCTTACTTTAGCCTTTTCTTCAATCCCTATAGGATCAGTTTGTTTGACGACTCTACTTCCCATTGGCTTGGGGGGATGCGACTGAGGCCATTTTTCAGGTAATGTGGTTTCTTGCACAGAAATTATCAAATGACCTGCAGTCAAACTGGGTACCATGATCAGTAATGATGGTATTAGGAGTCTCAAACCTGATCATTATGTTGTTGAATAGGAACTTCAAGATTTTTGCACTGGTGATTGTGTCTAGCAGCTCAACCTATATCCACTTCGTGAAGTAGTCTACAGCTACCACCAGGTAATTTTTTCATAGCGGGGAAGTAGGAAATGGTCCTAACAGATCCAACCCCCATTGTGCGAATGGCCATGGCCCTATTATGTTGTTTAGTTCTTCATTAGACAGATGCTACTTGATGGCATGTATTTGACATTCGTGTGACCCCGAACTGTCTCCATTGTATCCGTCTTCACTGTTGGCTAGTAGTTGCCTTGCAACAGTATAGTTCTTTCCAAGCTTCGCGGTCCAGAGTGTGAAGCACATGATCCCTGGTGAATTTCCTTGACCGTCCATTTTGCCTCGTCTGGCCCTAGGCACTTCAAGTACGCGCATGAAAAAGATCTCTGGCACAGTTGCCCCTCCACCAGTGTGTAGTGGGTTGCCTTTTTCCTCAACGTTCTTGCCTGGATAGCATCATCGGGAACTGTTTCATTCTGCAGATAGGCGGTCAATGGTGACCGCCAATCGTTAACTTCATTTGCTACAGCCATTACATCATTTCTTGACATTGCATCCTTTGTCACCGTCACTTGGCGGTCTCCCTCAAAATCCATTGCGGTTTCTAGGTTTGATAAGGCATCTGCATGGTGATTATCTTCTCTCTTGACATGCTCCAACTTCCATGTCTCTAGTTTGGATAGAATACCTCTGACATTTCCTTATAGCTTAACGAGCGCCTCTTCTTTGACTTCATAATTTCTATCACCTGGTTCACAACCAACAATGAGTCAGAGTAGATGTGAAGGTGCGAGGAACCCATGTTTGTAACGATTTTGAGATCGCTGAGGAGTGCCTCATACTCTGCCACATTGTTGATTTTAGCTCTTGGAACCTATGGGAGATCTCATGTATGACTCCCTGAGGCGCTTCGATGACAATTCCAGCTCCAACTCCACCTTTTCTCTCAAATCCATCAACAAAAAGGCGCCACACTTCCTCGTTCTTTTTTGTCTTTGAGGTATCCGATAAAACCCTCTGCAACAAAGTCTGCCTGCACCTGCCCCTTGATAGAGGGGCGCGGCGCATATGCCATGTCATGTTCGGTTCATTCCTCTAAAAAAAAAAATAATTCAATGGCAGGTTTGCGTGCACTGTGACCTGATGCTCTTGGAAGTACGGTCGCAACTTCCTTGCTGCTGAGACAACGACTAGGATCACCTTTTTGATCGGTATATACCACTTTTCTGTTGGGAGAAGCACCTTGCTCACATAATAGATGGATTGGTCTGAGCCGTCTTCTGTTCTGTGTACCAAGACGGAGCTGACTATTTGATCGGACGCCACTACATAGAGATATAATGCTTCTTTATGGACTGGGGCGCTTCCCAAAAAATCAAAGGCGCGAGGCGCTTCCTAGGAAGCCGAGGAGCAACACGCTTCCCAGGAAGCCGAGGAGCAATGCGCTTCTCAGGAAGCGGAGGAGCGATGCGCTTCCCAAGAAGCCGAGGAGCGACGCGCTTCCCAAAAATCCGAAGGCGCGAGGCGCTTCCTAGGAAGCCGAGGGAGCAATGCGCTTCTCAGGAAGCGGAAGAGCAATGCGCTTCCCAGGAAGCCGAGGAGCGACGCGCTTCCCAGGAAGCCGAGGAGCGACGCGCTTCCAAGGAAGCCGAGGGACAAGGTTGTCAACCCGCGGGTCGACCCGCGGGTTGACCTACTTTGACCCAGACCTGGTGAGAAAAACGGGCCGCACGCACCCGCCGGGTCGACCGTTATAAGGTACCGGGTTGGAGGTCAAATTGTGTCATTTTTTTCTTTGTTTTGCGAAATGCGCCTATTTTCCGATTTTTCTTTTCGCCTAACTCAATGTTTGGAATCCTAAGTTGAACATTTGAATATTAATGTTATATAAGTGTGTATGAATTTTCACTATATGTCGAATCTAAGTACGAAATGTTATTTTGGTGTAATATTATATGTTATAACTCATATGTTAGATGAGATTTGATATAATTTATCAGGATAAGTACAATATAATGAAGTTTTTCATATTTCCGGGCTAAACTGGGCTAAAACGGGTGACCCATTAACCCTTGACCCACTAGCTCAACCGGGTCCGGGTCAACCCGCGGATTGACAACCTTGCCGAGGGAGCAATGCGCTTCCCAAGAAACCGAGGAGCGACGCGCTTCTCAGGAAGCGGAGGAGCGACGCGCTTCCCAGGAAGCCGAGGGAGCAATGCGCTTCCCAGGAAACCAAGGAGCGACGCGCTTCCCAGGAAGCCAAGGAGCGAGGCGCTTCCCAAAAATCCGAAGGCGCGAGGCGCTTCCCAGGAAGCCGAGGAGCGATGTGCTTCCCAGGAAGCCGAAGAGTAATGCGCTTCTCAGGAAGAGGAGGAGCGACGCGCTTCCCAGGAAGCCGAGAGAGCAATGCGCTTCCCAGGAAGCCGAGGAGCGACGCGCTTCCCAGGAAGCGGAGGAGCGATGCGCTTCTCAGGAAGCGGAGAAGCGATGCGCTTCCCAGGAAGCCGAGGAGCGATGCGCTGCCCAGGAAGCGATGGAGCGATGCACTGCCCAGGAAGCGATGGAGCGATGCACTTCTCAAGAATCCGTGGAGCGAGGAGCGATACGCTTCCCACGGAGCGAAGGAGTGATGCGCTTCTCGAGGGAGCGATGCACTTCCCAGAAAGCGAAGGAGAAGCACCCCAGGAAGTCGAAGAAGCTCTAAGCTTTCCAGAAAGCTGAAAGACTAATGCGCTTCTCAAAAGGCGAAAGTACTAAGCTTCCTAGAAGAGAATAGTTGATCTTGCCTCACGCAAGTAAGACATTAACAAGACACATGACTTCCTGACAACATTGACGCAACATTGGTGAGTCACGAAACAAGAGCGTCTTGAGTTAAAACTCTCAAGCCGTGGGGGCCACCCTACCTAGGTCACAATTATGGTTTACTAGCGGTAACAACAATGGACTAGCGAAGGAACTCTTAACGACTTGAGAGCTTTGGTTCAAGACATCGAAAGCCAAGCAAGGGGCAAAGGAAATGATCATGCAAATCGCACAAGGGACAAACCGCATCATCCGGGTTCGTAAGTAAGGCAAATTAATACACGATTAACGCATTATGTTACTCCTTCCATTCTTCCAGAATACAAGAAGTAAAGAAGAAATTGTTGGGATATGGATTAATATGTCTACACGACTATAAACGGGCCCAAGCCCACAACAAGTCGTCCTGGGCCCAAGCCCACTCAAGGAAGCCCAAACCCTATATAAGGAGGCCTAACCCTCAAAACTAAGGATCCTCTCTTCCCTTCCTGCACTCTTACCCTAAGGTCTCTCTCTAAACTCTCTCTCTACATACCATACACTCTCCTATATCGTACTAACTTGGGCGTCGGAGCGTAGATACCGGGGGCCGCCCCCCGCCTCACAGGTTCTTCCACTCTCGAGGAGATCGAACGAGGGAGTCCAGATCAGAGCCCCATAATCGCCTAGTACTTTCTAGGCTCAAACAGATCCATCTGCGAGTGATCATGAAACCCAAGAACTTCCCTGCTTTTGCACCGAACACACACTTCAGCTGGTTCAGTCTAATGCGTTCTTTCCTTAGGCTGTCGAATGTATCCCTCAAATCTTCTATGTGGTTGGCCTCTTTCTTGCTCTTCACAAGGACATCATCTACATACACCTCCAAGTTTCTTCCCAATTGGTTTTTGAAGATAGCATCTATCATCCGTTGATATGTTGCCCCGACATTCTTCAAGCCAAATGGCATGACCGTGTAGCATAAATTCCCCATGTGGGTCATGAATGCGAACTTCTCTAATCCTCATCAAACAACCGAATTTGATGGTATCTAGTGAACATGTCAAGGAAACTTAAAGTTTCGTGATTGGCGGTTGCATCGATAAGCTGATCGATTCGTGCGAGGGAGTATGCATCCTTGGGACATGCCACATTGAGGTTTGTGAAATCGATGAACATTCTCCACAATCCTGATGCTTTGCAGACGAAGACTGGGTTGGCTGCTAGGTTGGGTATCTGACTTCTCGGATGAAACCAGCCTTCAGCAACCACTTTACTTCCTCTTCCAATGCCATTTGTATTTCGAGGGAAGTGTTCTTTCTCTGTTGTGTTGGCCTTGCCCTTTCTTTTATTGACAGATGATGTTCGGCGAGCTTTCTTGAGACGCCTGATATATCCTCTGAGGACCACGTGAACAGGTCCTTGTATTCTTTGAGGAGCTCCATGAGCTCTCGCCCCTTTTCTTCAGGGCGGTGAGATGAAATTCTGACTTTTTTTCGGTTCTTCTTTTCTTAGTACAACAACCACATCTTCTTTGACTGCCTCGGGTTGAGGGTGACTTCCTCTTGTGTCAACCTGGTCGACTTCCAGGTTTTCAATGGTTGTCTGGTAGCACTCCTTTGCCTGCTGTGTGTTTCCTGGTACGCGTCCGATCTTCCCTCCCGCGGGGAATTTGAGCATTTGGTGGCATGTGGATGGAATTGCAAAGAAAGTGGACAGGAAACAACACCCCATAATTGCATTGTATGCCAAAGGACAGTCAGTTACATGGAAATCCTTGAGGCGCGTTTTGTCGCTCCTGCTTCTCCTATTGTGACTTGCAGTGTTATGGACCCTAACACTTGGATTTTTTACCCTGGGAAGCCCACTAAGCTGGTCGTCGACGGTTTGAGATCTTGAATGCTCTTCTTCATGCTTTTTTGGGTGGAATAGAATAGGATGTCCGTGGAACTCCCATTTTCAACCAAGGACCTAGTGACTTTAAATTTCCTTGTTCGAAAGGCGATGACCAGCGGGTCTGCTCCACACTCTTCGGGAGCCAGCTCGGAGGGCGAGAAGCTTATCTCCACCTAATAGCTTTTGTGAACGCTTAGGTATTGGGCTATGCGGCCACCTTATGTTCTAGGCCGCTTATGGCCTCCCGCTATTGGTATAACTTCCACGTCATTCACATTCGTTATATATTGCCGCCTTGGGGGGGGGGGGGGGGGGTATGTCGTGGCGACGGTGTAAGCATTCCCTTCAGGGAGCGTTGGGGCATCCTTGACCTCTTGCGCCTGGGCGTTCGGGACCTTGTTCGCGGACTTGGCGATCTTCTCCTTTTGTTAGCCTCGTGCCTGCTGTGCGCCTGTGTGTCTAGAGAGCTTTTTATATCTCCCGGGGCTAGGTACTTGAGGCTGGCTTTTAACTAACGGCACTCTGTGGTGTCATGAGTTGCCAATTAGTGCCAGTCGCACCACTTTTGATCGTTGTCCCTCCTTCGCGTCTGATGCGCCTTGACTCGCCCCTTTTTTTGTGCCTACCACCTTCTTTGTCGACAATGAACACTTTGCGCCTATTGTCCTTGTTTATAAATCGAGGCTTGTAATTTTGCCTCTCGGGTGTGTTTCCCCTTTTCTTCGACGATCCCGCTTTTCTTTTGTCTCCTTTCTCCCCTCCAGACTTGGCGGGCTTCACTACGTCATCGCTAGTTAGCGCATCTTCCAGTACAATGGCTTTCCTTACTAAGCGGTCAAGGTCAGGCCAAAACCTTAAGTAGTGTTCTTTCTTGATGAGAGCTCTCTTCAGTTCACGGCTGTGGGTGGACATTCGTAGGTTGCCTGCTGCCACGGTGGGCAAGTTCCCCTGTACCTCATAGGCTATGGTCTTCCACCTGTCATAGAAGTGGATCAATGCCTCTTCTCTTCCTTGTCTACAATTGATGAATGCCGACACGGTGAGCTTTCTTCTTTGTTGAGACGCAAATTTAGATGAAAAGAGTGTGGCGAACTACTCGAAACTACAGATTATTCCTTCTGGGAGTGAAGTATACCATGTTCTGCACTGACCGCTAAACGTGACCGGGAACGCTTTACACATATCTGTGTCTTAGGCGTTGATGAGCTGCATCTTGAGCATGAAAGGGCTCAGATTGTCCATCGGGTCGGAGTTTCCACTATAGGTTGGCAACCCTAGTGATGAAAAGTTAGATGGCACTTGCGTTTGAACAGACTTTTTGCCAATGGATTTTGTAATATGTTGTGGCTCTTTGTCTTTCCATACGAGGACCTGAGGTGCTCTTCTAAGAAGTTTAGGTTTAGCTCCTCCTTTCTTTCTTCTCCTTCGGACCTCCCGCCCTCTATCTGAGCAGGTCTGGTGGGGGTTTCTTCCCTTACTTCCTTGCCTTTGCCCTTCTGTCTGTATGAGCTTTCCGGAACGCCTTTTTCCTTGAGCATGGCAAGGATTGGCCCTAGGCTTTCTTGTATGCTGGAGATATGTTTCCTTTGGTCTATCACGCGATCTTCTATCTCCATTTATTCCTCTACCCTACAACGGTAATTAATGCTTGGTCTTGTTTATACCGAGGCATATCTTAGTCGATACCCTTCTTGTCTCCATCACTGCTTTGTGTCAGACGGTCCTCCTGTCTTGTCTCCGGGCGACCGCCTAACTTCTTTAACCCCGTATCAGTTTCCTTATTGGGTTGGGCCTGCTGATCTTCCTTTTTGGGCCTCAGGCTTGATACTGCTCCTACACGTGGGCCCATCACTTGTACTATGATGTTGTACGACCTCCAATTTGATGTGCATGGCTCTAAAATTCGATCTCTCGCTGCTCTAGACCTTCATTTCAACCTTGGAGTCTCTCTCTCAAACTCACACAAGGGAGATCCCAGGCCGTTGAGGCCACCCCTTCCTGTCTTATTTCGTTTATGGGGTTTAACTAAGGGATTTATAAGCTGTGAAAATGAATGACGAGGTAAAGTGCCCAACATGGCTCTACTGTTTTAGTGTCATCATACATAGGGGTAGAAGTTTGGGTTACGGGTTGTGGATAACCCGTAAACCGCAGCAATCCACGCTTATTTTGGGTAACCATACTCACAAGCTGTGGGTAGTAAAATATTAACTTTTGTGGTTAGTGGTTACCCACTATCCACCGCGGTTAACCCACAATAACCACACTAATTATATATATTTACTAATAATACTTTATAATATAATAGTATGTGAAAAGTGGGAGACAAAAAACTAAAGTAGCCACATAATCAGTATGTATCTAAGTAGTTTTAAGTGAGAATTTTTTAGTTTATAAAACACTATAATCGAAAAAGTAAAAAGTAATCGACTCATTAGAGGTTGGCACATTTAGTAACTTTCATCTGTATGTTTTTGCTTTTGTGTAAAAGAAAATACACGATCGTGGCTAAATTGAAGTTTGCTCACTAGAATTGCTAAAAAATGCCATGTTTGCCATTAGAATTAATTCATTCCATTCGTAGTCACTCAAATTAGTTACACAGTTCAAGTTTGGTCACTCTCCGTTATCTTCCGTCAATGTCCGTTAACGCCGTCAGTTTTTTGCTGACGTGGCTAATAGAGGTATCCAATCACCCAATTTAAACTCGAAAAACTTAAAACCTGACCCGCCACATAAGATACCCAAACCAAACCAAACCCACCCACCCTGACCCAACCCTTCATCTTCTTCAACTATTTGACCCGACCTTTCCAGATCTACGAACCGACCATCGTCTCCCTTCTTCTTCTCTGAATCTTGTCGAAGAAGCCCTTCTTCTTCTTCTTTGATGGCAGCGGAGTAGCTCGACGGCCTGAGCGGCAACAGAGCTCGATGGCAGACATCAATCTATGGTTAGGGGAAAAGTCGATGGATTTGGGTGTGGTGTCCAGCTGCTGGAGCTCTTGGTGGGTAAAACCCCCCTTCCATGTCCTGATGAGGCAACACGACTCTGAAATTCCCTAGGCGGGTCCGCTCGATTCGGGAGGAAGAGATGGATTTCGGGGTTTCCATGGCGTGCGTCTTGATCCCGATGGAGGAAAGTCATATATGTCCATTTTGGAAACTCTCCTCAAATCAATGAGCGCGAGCCATTCAAGGATGTCGATCAGTGATGTCGATTTGGGTGTTTCTTTTCTTCTAGTTTGTTTGTTGTCTTGTCTTTCCCCCATCTATTCCGCTGACGTATCCTCTAACAGACTGTCGAGAAGCTTGTGGCTGGGCAAGATCCCCCAAGCTAGAAATGACCCCAACCTACTTCTATGCTACCTCCGACGGGTCGATTTGGCGCGAATGGGAACTGGCGACGACGACGTCGGAAGAAATTGATTCCTTGTCCTGCCGAAATAAGATGGATGTTCGATCCTAGTGCCTTTGGCGGAGCTGAGGTTGGAAGGAGGAAGAAACTTTGCCTGCTTTGGTTGTAGCTAAGACTTTTAATGTCGATTTGTTTGGGAGAAAGAAAGATAAAAAGAGTTATGAGGAAGATGAATGGGGTGGCGGGTATTCTGTAGGAGATTGAGAATTGCGGTGGTGGCCGCCGGTGAAAGATGAGGAAGAGACGGAACGAATAGAGGAAGAAGAAGAAGGGTGGGTGGGTCACGGGTTTGGTTCGGTTTGAGTATCTTATTTGACTGAGTTATAATGACATGGCATATAGATTTTTTTTTGTTTAAATTTGGTGACTAGGCATCTCTATTAGCCACGTCAACAATTGACGGCACTAACGGAGTCTGACGGAAGGTAACGGAGAGTGACCAAACTTGGACCGTGTAACTAATTTAAGTGACTACGGATGGAATAGTTTAATTTTAGTGGCAAACGTGAAATTTTTAAGTAATTCTAGCGACCAAACTTGCAATTTACCCACAAGATCATATATGAAATCACAGCTCCTTAACACAAAAGTTGAATACCAAACTCGAAAAGAAAAAATCTCCACGTTGAGTAAGTTGATATACAAAATTATATCTCCATGAATGACACAATTGTATATCATTATAGTATTGCTACGGACAACAAATACGGTGGCGGCGGCCTCAACTCTATACTTGCAAAGATGTGCGGGTAACCACACCCGCCCCAATTTCCACCCCTTCACACATTCTCAACTTTTAAATGAAATCGTTGAGATTGTATTATCTTCTTTTTCTGTTTCATTTTATACTTTCAAAAAGCTGGATTGGACCCCGCCCGTTGGGCTGATGAATTAGATAAATGACATAAACGATAATAATAATTGCCCGAACGAAGTTATGTTTTATTTTGTACCACGAAAGAATCCAAATAATTCAATTGCTTATAATATAAATTAGGAAAGTACATTATAAATTTTCTTATAAAAGATTGTTCATGGACAACAATTATGTGATTCATACTGAGATAACATATTACAAATATTTGCGAAGGGATGGATGCGTAAGAACATTCACATCGGATAAATACTGTTTTTTAGGCAAAACTTTCACATATTTTAAAATATTAGTTGAACCTTTGAGAATACGAATATAAAGCCAACCGTTAAATATACGTTAATACTTCTGTTAGATGGTGATGAGCTGGCTGATGTGATGCTAAGATGGAAGGAATATGGTGACATGGCACTCAAAAAGAATAATTTTTCTTGGGGATGTAGCAACAATTGAAACAATATCGAACTTCCCGAAACAGGCAAACCTATGACGATTGCTCCCTCGACTGAGACTACTCGGTTTCGTTACTGTTGAGTAATGAACAAATGCTGACGATGGGAAACAGAAGAGAGGAGCAATTGCTGATGATGAGAAACAGACCTCTGCGTCGGAGTGGATCCCAGAAAGAACGAAGGAACAACGATGAAGGGAGAGCAAAATCGACGGTGGATACGATAATTGATAACCCTTCTTTTAATTATAAAATTTAAACCTATTTGTTTTAATTTACACGACGATGATATGTCAAACACGCAGATTGATGATTAACTTATGTGTAACTAGGAATTCTGTGGTACAGGCACTGTACCAGTGCCGCCACTTTTTTCTGACCGGTTGGAATGGTTGAGTTTGTAAATTACTGGGTGACCCTGGCTTGATAATTCAATTAATAAATCATAAATAAATAAAAAAAAGTGGGAAACAATAAACAAAAAACAGCACAGCCATTCCCTTCCACTCCTTTGTTCGTGACTTTGTAAACCTATCCAAGACTTCCGGCGAGCAATCCACCACCTCGCTATTGTCGTCGATCGACCTCACCACCGTCGTCACGCCCGTATCCGCCTTCTGGTCATCGCCGCCCATCGTTTCTGCCGCGACACCATCGAAATCGCCATCGTCATCAAGGCTCCCCAACCCTCGATTTAATTTCATCACCGGCTTCAAATGCAGCAGATGTACGAGGCGGCCCAGCAACAGGAGATGTTGAGGGCTTATAATGAACAACAGCAGCAGCAGAGGCAGTTTCAGCAGCAGGAGGCGATCGGCTTGATGGATGGTGGCGTTACAACGACTGGGTTCAATGGTGTGCCATCAGCACCGCTAGCTCTTGGGAACATTGGTCATGGTACTAGCTCGTACCAAGGGCAGCAGCAGGTGATAGAGCTTAAGCCACAGCTGTTTCTTCAGCAGCAGGAGAGGTCTGCAGGGAGCATCATATCCGTCCTGGCTGCCCGGTCATTCCCAACAATGTCCCTACCGTGGCAATCGAACATCATCATCGTCGTTGCCGTTGTTCAGGCAGCAGCACGAAGATCGCCGACTCAGTCGAAATACCCATCGTCAGCAGAGGCAATGAAAGGATACGTGACCTAAAATCCGCTTTTAGCTTGTATGAGATAAGTCTTCAGTATCCTTTTGATTTGGGTATTTGTTGGATAATTCCTGAATGCGTTAGATTGTGGAGATTGGGTGAACAACATAATGTGTATTTGGATGGTTTCAAATCTGAGTGTACTTATCATAAATCCCTTCCCAAATCTTCTGTCGGCGAATTTGTTTTATGTTCGCCTCCCCTTCCTGCCGGCGATCAAGAGATACCTACTGTATTCGTTTTCCTGAGAAAACTGTTCGACTAACGATTGAGCAGGATATTTCGGCAACGACAATGAGAAGCAAGAAAATAAACAAATAATTATTTCTCAATAGTGAAACGACCAAGCGTTTTCCTTCTGTTTCAAATCTGAGTGTACTTATCATAAATCCCTTCCCAAATCTTCTGCCGGCGAATTCGTTTTATGTTCGCCTCCCCTTCCTGCCGGCGATCAAGAGATACCTACTGTATTCGTTTTCCTGAGAAAACTGTTCGACTAACGACTGAGCAGGATATTTCGGCAACGACAATGAGAAGCAAGAAAATAAACAAATAATTATTTCTCAATAGTGAAACGACCAAGCGTTTTCCTTCTGTTTCAAATCTGAGTGTACTTATCATAAATCCCTTCCCAAATCTTCTGCCGGCGAATTCGTTTTATGTTCGCCTCCCCTTCCTGCCGGCGATCAAGAGATACCTACTGTATTCGTTTTCCTGAGAAAACTGTTCGACTAACGACTGAGCAGGATATGTCAGCAACGACAATGAGAAGCAAGAAAATAAACAAATAATTATTTCTCAATAGTGAAACGACCAAGCGTTTTCCTTCTGTTTCAACTTTCAACATTAAAATATATATAATAAATGATTTAAGTATACAATGGGTTCAACCTGCCGGTTCAACCTACTATGGGTTAAGTGAGGGTCGTAATCAACGATCCTCATTACACTTTGAAAATCCAGCGGCTTTTAGGATGGCGGCATTGGTGCAGTGACTGCACTACAGATTCCGCCATGTGTAACTCTGTTAAAGCTAACATTAACTTTAACGTAAAATTATTATAATTTTGTAGCATTATTGAGGGTTTGAGTAATATTTTGTATTCTCAAAAGTTTGATTAATATTTTAGAATTCGTAAAAGGTTTGATGAAAAAAATAGTATTTACCTATTATTTTATTGCCACCTCAAATTAAATTACGATGTGAAAATATAGGGTGCATTGTTCTTTTTATTTGCCAATTGGTTTTCCATAAACTAAAAAGCAAGCATTCATTCATACCCAGTACCCACTAGAGGTGGAAAACAATCCGGTCCGGTTAAATCCGGACCGGATTGACCCAGTTTTTTGAAACCGTTTTGACCAATACCCCAACCGAAGACGGAATTGGATTAAATCCGGTTTTAACCAAAACCGGACTGGATTGATCCGGTTTTAACCGGAAAACCGTTTGAAAGGCAAACCACTCAATTTAATAAAAAAAAAATTCACTAACCCCCATCTATCTGCTTTTTCTCTCTGCTTTTTCTGGGAAGTCCCAACCCTCCTCTATCCCCTGTTCATTCTTTACCCTCTGTTTTTTTAGGGAGAAAAAGGGGGGAAGAGAAAGTTTTGTAGGGAAAATGTAATTCCCGATGCAATTTCCTCTGTTCTCCAAATGACTGAGGGAGAGATTATGGGGGAAAATTCACTGTGCCAGGCGCCCCCCCAAATCCGAGAGAAAGGATCGCTGAAGCTTTCATTGTATTTTTTTATTATTTAAATTGGGTTAAATAATAACTATCCTATTATTTTATTAATCGCCGGTACACGTTTCTTTCACCTAATTAAGGACTCGGTTTGTTTAAGCTGGTTTTCTTTTTGTAATAGTTTTTTTTTACGATTTTTTTCTGTAATAGTGGGTTTATGATTTTTTTTTTTGTCATAGTGGGTTATGGATTAAGGAGATTAATTGGAGATTTTATAAAATATAAATAATTGGGGGCTTTTGACGTAGAAGCCATTTAATTGACGATAAGTGATTATTATTAAAATTAGTGTATGTAAAATCGTATCGTACGGTCGTACGATTCATATGAATAATTACTTCACGTATAACGTTATTTTACACGATACATAAACCTGCTAAAAAATTGTGTTACGATCCTTGTAAAAACAAATAAAGAGTGCAAATTTTCATAGAATGAATGTGATTTGTTTTGTGCTTCCGTTTTTAGTTGCTATGTCGACGAATCAATAAAATAGAGACAAAATTTTAACAATAGGTTCAAAAAAAAAATTCAAGTCATCTACTTTTGATTTTTAATAGTGAACAAAATTAGTAAGAAAGTACAAATTTAATTCACAATTCATAACCAATGAAAATAATATCAACATATAATCAAATTATTTTACTATTATATACCCAATAAAATAACATATCCATCACAATTCCCAATACACATTTTCCTTCTCACTTTTTTCCATAAAACACCATTTTCCTTCCAATTTCCTTCACCTCCAAATCTCCCCTCCCCTCCAAATTTTCCTTCACCTCCCCTCCTTTTTCTCCCTTCCTTCGGAAACAGAGGGTTAATCTTTACCCACAAAGAACCCCAAATCCCATACTTTCCCTATCATTGTTCCTCTTAAATCTTGAACCACAAAGATATCGAGGGATCCAAAGGGATACGGGTCTTGCATGTTTCGATATAGGAGAGATCAGAGGGAGGCGGGTCATGCATGTTTCGATCTGGGAGAGAAGCAGAGCAACGGCCGCTTCAAATTAGCTGGTGAGACGGAGAAGAGAAAGGAAGAGTTGCGGCCGCTCCAAATCGGTCGTCTCGCCGCCGCCGCCGCTACGGTGTCGGATGAGAAGCAAGCAGAGAGGGTGAGTGAGATTAAAGAACAGAGTGAGAAGAGAGAGGGAGGATTCGATTTGTGTGTTTACTTTTTTGCATGCCTGGGTTTAGGTCTTAGGGTGTTGATGGCAGAGTGGGATTTGGGAGATGGGAGAGTGATGTTTGCTTTTGGCTTTGCCGCTGGGAATAGATAGGAGAAAAGGGAAGAAGATTTAGGGTTGTGGAGTTGGGCTTTGGGGATTTGAGCAGGGTTTGCGTGGCCTGTAGTTGGGCCTGGGCCTAAGTTGTTGAGGGAGGTGGGCTGGCTGGAGAAATGGGATGAGCTAATGGGCTATCCGGTTTTCCCGATTTTAACCGGATTGGACCGGGCTGTGATAACTGCAACCGCAAACTGGATTGGGTTAGTTGAAATCCGGTTTCCGGTTACAACCAGGACGGTTTAAACTGGCCAGTTTCCGATTTGACCGGAAAACCGAGACCGGATTCCCAACCCTAGTACCCACAGTCTGTGCCTCAAACAAAATGTACATTGGTAAGAAAAAGAAAAGTATAATGTACCCATAAAAATAAACTCAGAGACAGACTTGAATTAAAACTGCAAAGACCAAAAAAGCCTTCCATACTATGCGAATGAATGAGGGAAAAGAGAATGATGTGGGTTGCGGAGGAGAACCTCCATATATTAGTTGCTTATATAGGAATGGGAATAGGGGGTTGGGTCGGGTCGGGTCGGGTTTTGCCAAATCCAAACTCATAGGTTTATTTATGAAAAAAACCTGGGGTAAAATTTACTGGGTTTATTTGCGAAAAAACAAGGTAAAATCCACAAGGTTTATCTGTGAAAAAAACATGGGGTAAAATCCACTGGGTTTGAAAAACTCAAACTCAACCCAACCAGCTAGGTATCCGCGGGTTCATGGGTACCCATGGATTTTTGTCATAAAAATTTACAATAACAAGTTCCTATCAAAATAAAACTCAAATATCAATCTCTCAATACAAATTATCCATATATAAAACACCATTCTAGAAAATTCAAGCAAATCACAAATTAACCATACAAATTGTTCAATGTCAATCTAGAAAACTCAAGAAAATTGAAGCAAATCACAAATTATCAATAAACAACATGATTAATTGAAATTTTCTTCCTCCTTTTCAATTAAGTTTCTTCACTCTCCACTCGATAATATCAACTTCATTCTAGACAATTAGAAAGAAAAAAATTAGACATGTCTCCACAAACATAAAGAAGATTAGTTGTTTAGAATATTAAATATACCAGGAAAATTAATTATATTGGTGTGGGCGGGTACCCATGGGGCGGGTTTACCTAAACCCAACCCAACCCGATGAATAGTGAACGTGTTTAAACCCAAAACCCATCAACACAGGTTTTACCCGCGTTGACCGGGTTGGGTTGGGTACCCGTGGGTTCGGGTTTTGTTGCCATCCCTAGTTGCTCAGATGTATTTCTTTTAACTTTTAAATTGGGTTAATTTCATGGTTGGTCATTGAGATTACAAAAAACGTTCAAGTTTGGTCACTCAAAATATTTAAATCCATTGGTGGTACTTCAGTTTACTGAAACGGTTCACGTTTGGTCACTCTTCGTCCAACTCCGTTAACTTTTGTTGATGTGGCAGTCAACTCTCAAAGTTGACCGTTAACTTAGTGACATGGCAACTAAAAAGTTATTAAAAATAAAAATATAAACATTTATATTTTCCACCTCATTATTACATTCATTAAAAAATAAAAAAATACAACGAGTTTCGTTGCCTCATTGGCACTGATTTCAGGAGGATACTTCCTTACCCGACCCGGCGACTGATTCGTCCTCTTCGGCGGCGAGTCGGCAGGAGGAGGAACGAGGGAGTAATGTGGCAGCCTGTGGGCAGGCTTGGGATTAGGGGTTTCGGAGGAGAGGACTTCCTTGACGGTTTCCTCGTCGCTGTCCAGCGGCGGAGCTCTGCTTTCGGCGGTTGCCGTTTTTCGAGGAAGTCGTAACGAGTTGAGAAACTTGTAGAAAGAGGAATTCTTTGCTCCCGGAGCACCACGCGAGCAGTCCTACTTGGTGCTCCCGCCCATTAACTAAAAAAATTGAAGTCTCTCCTCACAAACATCTTCCGCCGCCGTCCACCAGACCTTCGAAGATAAAAAAAACCAAACCCTTTGCTCTGATACTATCATTCTCCTTCCACTCGTCCAAATCAAATGGAATTATTATACTTTCTGTCTGTCTAAGCTATGTTTTTCCAATAATCTTGGCGGGTAAGTCTATTTTCCTTTCCCCAGGTCCCAGTCTCTGAACAAAGAAAACTCGTAAAATTATGGTGAAATTCAAACACAGAGTATCAAGTATCAACCCATAAAAACGGGGTATTCCTCCTCGTCTTCGTTTCAATCCTCCTCAACTGAACGTGAATTCAAATCTCAATTGGGGAATTTCAGATTGGCGAGGCTGGTGAATCGCAATAAGAGTTCTGTGTCTATATTGACGGTAGGGCATTTGACGGCAGAGTATCAGTCCGGTGCGGAACTACCTCCATCTTGCCTGAACTGTCTGCTTCCGGCGGGCAATCGATGCAATCTTTGCCTCGTCGAGATTGACAGTAAGATATCTCAATCAAGAACGCATTCAAGAACCGGTCCAGATCTACGTAAAAAAACCAGAGATATAAAAATAATTGAAATTGAATTCATGTCCACGTGGCATTTAATTATTGGGCGGGAGCACCAAGTAGGACTGCTTACGTGGTACTCCCGGGAGCACCCAAGAATTCCTCCTTGTAGAAAAGAAATTAGGTTTTGTATTTTTTTTTATTTTTTAATGAATGTAATAATGAGGTAGTAAATATAAAATTTAATTTTTTTTATTTTTAATAATTTTTTAGTTGCCACATCACTAATTTTAACGGTCACATCAGCAAAAGTTAACTGAGTTGGACAGAGAGTGACCAAACATGAATCGTTTCAGTAAACTAAAGTACCACTAATGGATTTAAATATTTCGAGTGACCAAACTTGAACGTTTTTTATAATCTCAGTGACCAACCATGCAATTAACCCCTTTTAAATTGAAAATGAGGGTTACACGAGATATTTATGTTTTAAAATTAATTTTTTAGTTATATTACAAACACAATCACATATATCAAACCATAACAAATTTATCAATATATATATTGCTTATCATAATGCCTCAATCTAAAATAAGTACAATGGCGAAATTTAGAAGAAAAGGGAAATAAATAGGGTAGGAAGTGGAGCGAGCGAGCGAGGAATAGAGAGAAAGAAAGGTCCCAAGCCAAGACTAATATTGACAAAGACGCAGCTCACGACGACTCACAACTCACAAGTACACTACACACAAACAAATAGCAGGGAAATTTTTTGGGCAATATAGAAAAAGAAATTGAAAGCTCCATCGCTGTCCCATTGCCGAAAGCCGCAGGAGAGAGAGAGAAGAGAAGGAGAGAGGGAGAGAAATTGCCGAAACCCACTCTTCCTCCCCAGTCATCATCATCTTCTTCCTTTGTTCAACTCATTTTCCTCTCTTTCTTCGGAGCCTGTCCTTCTCCCTCCCCCGGGGCTCCTCCGCCCCGACCCGGATCTCCCCCCGCCGCCGGCAGAGCAAATGTACTCCGCCCTGCACTCTCTGCCGCTGGACGGGAGCAGCATAGTCGGCGGTGGAGTAGCTGGAGCGGGGCACGTGGATTTCCAGGGGTCGTTGGATGGGACCAATCTACCTGGGGATGCGTGCTTGGTTCTCACCACGGATCCGAAGCCCCGCCTCCGGTGGACCGCCGAGCTCCACGAGAGGTTCATCGACGCCGTTACCCAGCTGGGAGGACCTGACAGTAAGTTCTTTCAACAATACTTCTCCCCCATTCCTTCAAATTTTGGGTCCCCCTTTTTCTCCGCTCAACGAGCTATGCCTTTACTGTGGAGAGTGAAGGAACTTTTGGTCCATTCGTTCCTCTCTCTTTCGATTCAGCCATTTCTTTGCAGTTCCATGTTGTGGGTTTCATTGATTACCTGGGTTTCCGTTTTAAAGTTGCTAAATTTGATAGTTAACTGGGGATTTTCTGCGGCAGTTTTCCCCTTTACTAGTTGACCTTCCTTGCTCATTAGAAATGCAGTCTTTTGGTTGGTTGAATGTGTTGAGAATTGACAATCAGGCCAATTCCTTACTTTTTCAGCCTGCCTATTGATGCACATATTTAATCTTTGAAGTGGGCGGATAAATTTTGGATGGTAGTTGCATGATGTATGAGAAGATGTTTGTTTCTCGGTATTATATATATCTACACTTATTGCCTTCCCATTGACCAGCTTTCGTCTCTAACTAGACAACTTCTCTGTTTCTTGTTCTTGTTGGCTTTGTGATTGTTTATCTTAAAAAAATCATATTTCCGTGCCAAACCATTTCCATAGATTACAGTAGAAAAGACAAACCAGAAGAGCCAGGATCTTGTTGACTCTGCAATACCAGGAATCTTCTGAATTTTATTTTGGCTGAAATTTGTAGTTAGAACTCTTAGCCAGTAGGAAATTTCACTGTGGATTTTTGTTTAACCCTGATAGCAATGGTGAGAGGTGGTCTCATTACATTCTTCTGTTCTGCATTTTGACTCATGGACCTGTATACAAGTTATTGGACTTGAACTCTTTGAAGAGAACTTTGCATATAATATGCTCACAAGATCCTAGAACTTCAGGAAATGAGCGCTGGTGAGTGATTGAAAAGAAAAATATAGCTTTTGACAGTCTGCTTGCTTTTAGAAAGTGCGAGTCATTTGTCATAGTTGCACCTATAGGACCTGGCATGCTGCAGAAAGATGAAGTAAGGATTCAAAGGAGACTTCCTTGTCCTATGGAGACCTCAAGTTTAATTTCCAGTATAAACTGGGTTGACCATTGTCATTCTGGTTGAAATGCACGCACAAGGAGCTTGTATGAGCGATAAAAATATGAATTCCAGTGTTTGAGACTTGACAGGCCAAGTTTTAGCCAATTAGGCTCCAGGTCCGCTAACTTGCTGATGCTGCCTGTTGTTTATATTGATACCCAACCATCCATATCGTATGCTGACACTTCTTTTATTGTAAAATTTTGCTGCATTAATGTGTCAAGTTCAGCATGTGGAGTTATTTTTATTAGAACCCTTTTTTTAATAAGAAAGGTAATTATGGACGGGTTGGTATAACCGTATAAGCAAGGAAGGTAACAACAAATAAAATAGGAAATTGTAATTCCTGAGGTTGATATTGATATGTATAGTAGCTGTTTTACATGCTTCTCCTGTAGATGGCTGATTTGCAGCTGCCTTCTACTTTTTCTCAATTCAGGCATTTGTATCCTTTCTCATCTTTTTAATTTCTACCTTTTGAAGCTTGGTTAAGAATCAATGACATTTGATATGTATATCTTACTTATTCCATTTTCCCCTTGCTTTTGTGATGTTGCAGAAGCGACCCCTAAAACAATAATGAGGACAATGGGGGTAAAAGGCCTCACTCTTTATCACTTGAAATCCCATCTACAGGTTTGTTTTTGTATAGATGCTTCTTCTTTGTTAGCCTAGTCTTGATTTGCTTGTCTTGCTGTGTTCGCCATTGGTTAAAATAAACGTACTAGCATTTCCTGACTTTTTGTGTCACCCTACCAGAAATACAGGTTGGGAAGGCAATCCTGCAAGGAATCGACTGAAAGCTCCAAGGATGGTATGATTCTACATCTGTTTGGATCTGGTCTGATCCTTGTTCATGGAATTTCTAGCAACTGACTCTTAATTGCCAGTTGTGGATTGGAGATTTCTGAATTCTCTTGTTCTAATGTATTTTAGATCATTGTTGTGCTCCATTTCATATTAACTACTTAATCAGTAAATAACCCCTGGGAGAATGTGAGACTGATGAAAAGTGGTGGTTGCCGGTATTTGTAGTCGGAATTGCAGCATCTGTGGCAGAAAGTCAGGACACTGGCTCATCTGCATCAACATCATCTAGAATAGCTGCACAAGATCTGAATGAGTATGTCAATAATCATCCTATCATTTTGCCTAAAATCCTTCTTTGTATCCTCCTTACATGTCTCATTCTTTCCATTTATGAAACAGCGGTTACCAGGTCACCGAGGCTTTGCGTGTACAGATGGAAGTTCAGAGAAGACTACATGAACAGCTAGAGGTCTGCCATTGTTCTTGAGACTGTTTATTTTGAAATGTGGCTTCTGAAACTCTGACTGAGAAAATTGCAGCTGAGCACTTATCATGATTAGTGAATGTCTCATCTGGTTGTAAGTTGGAATCTTTGTGCCTGATGTATTCTAGCTGAGGAATGATCCTTAAGCTCTTTTTCTCTGTGTAAAACAGGTGCAGCGTCGACTCCAACTCAGGATTGAAGCCCAGGGGAAATATCTACAGTCAATACTTGAGAAAGCTTGCAAAGCTCTAAACGACCAGGCAGTTGCAACTGCTGGACTGGAAGCTGCGAGGGAGGAGCTTTCAGAGTTGGCAATCAAAGTATCCAATGAATGTCAAGGAATGGCACCCATTGACACCATAAGGATGCCGTCTTTATCTGAACTTGCTGCTGCTTTAGAGAGCAAAAGTGCTTCTTCCAATGTGCCGGCTCGGATTGGTGACTGCTCCACAGAGAGCTGCTTGACTTCAATTGGGAGTCCAGTTTCGCCAATGGGAATGTCTCCACAGGCTGCTGCTGCCATGAAGAAAAGATCAAGGTCTGTCTTCGGCAATGGAGATTCTCTCCCACTGGATGGCACCACCATGCGTCATGAAGTTGAATGGATGATGAACAACATGGCCTGAAGAGCTAGCTAGCTAGCTACCGCAAAGTTAGCGTCCTAGAATCAACTCCTCGTTGTTCCCCACGTCCCTCTCCCTCTTCTTGGTTATTGTCCTCAGATTAATTTGATCTCCTAAGTTAACTGTATCACCTTCAAATGGTCTCCTGTATAGTTTGGGATCCTTTTTCTAATTGTAGGAACTTTTGCCTATGCAGTTGGAAAGATATCAACTTTCTCGTTTCTTCCCCGCAAGCACTTCACTTTCAGTTAACAGCCTTTTTGGCCCGAGGAAAATCTATCTGCAAAATCCTTGGCCGACGACAAACCAAGCAGGCCTAGACTCTGCTAAGATTTATAAATCTCCTTATTAAGCTTCTGGGTGTGTTTAGACGACGATTGATCAATGACAATTGTCAATGATACAAACCAAATCTTGCAAGTTTCAATCTTTCCATGACCCATCAATTTATCATTACACTTCTAGCTGCCTCTTACTTCTAATCTTCAATCCCTTTCTCTTCAGTTGCTGGTTGCTTCAATCAAATCAATCAATCACAGTTCCCCTGGTAAAACTGATGGACTTCTGAAATCCTCTGTTTCTCCTCCCACTCCCCTGTTAATTTACCCACCCCTGTTTGTCTTTCGTGATTTTATTCACTTCATTTCACTGTAGTTTTGCATGGAACTCAAACTACCAAACAAAGAAGTAATATGACATGGGCTGGATTTCTTTGAAGGCAGGGAGTGGCACTTAATCTCATCAGTCTAGCCAGTGTTGCCCTTCTCTGAAGCAGCTGTCATCCAAAATAGGAACCAGATAAACAAATACAAGACGTTTGATGCAAAGCTAGAAAAGAAGATGATAGAAGTCAAGAGATTAACATCATAATCATGAGGTTCCATCAATTCAAACAACACCTCAAAACCATCGGGTCGTTTTCCAACAGTTTGGTAATGTAAAAGGACATTTTCTCTCTCTGTCCCTGTGTTATTGTTAATTATCTTTCATTGTAAAATGTTCTCCTGTATCTATCCATCTATCAGATGAAAATCGGCAGCATCGACCTTCAGGAACTGAAGAAATGCCTAGAGAACCTGCAGCTGCTTAACCTCAAGGAGTTGGAGGTGGAAGTGGGGGGATTCAGTTCAATGAGTTCATTGTCCTCCTCAGCCTCATCTATCTTTAGGCACAGCCATCATCTTCTTCCTCTCCAAACAATTGATAATTATGGGCCAATGCAGACATCAAAGATGGGTTCGTCAGAACTGGAGGCAACCTTTGACACCATTGTTGAAGTATTCTTGTTACATGACAAGATTGGAGATGGGAAGTTTAACAAGAAAGACTTGGTAAACACGTTGAACGATGCACCAAGTCAAAATTCAGTGAGTCGAAACAATTGAATCCGATCTATTTCCCTCCTTTACTTTGTGGTTTGTTGACGTAGACCGTGAGAGTGATTCACGTGACTGCCAGAGGAAATGGACCGGTACAGGAATGGGAAGGTTAGCTTCAGGGAGTTTCTGTTTGCGCTGATTCAATGGGTTGGCATTGATGCTGCTAATGATGAACAAGACCAGAGATTCCCCTGAATGGAACATTCTTCATGTTCTTTTTTCGTGTCTTTGCAAGTGCTTTTGTTAAGTTCAAATCATACAGTACTATGGTGACCATTGTTTCACAAAACCGAAGGCTCTAACTACATTCAAACATATGATACACACAAGTTACAGAAACTGAACAGCAAACAAAAAAAGAAAAAAACACAGGAGCAAAGAAACGAAATCACCAGGTTTTCTCTACATACATACTACTGCCTGCTAGTTGCTACCTATCATTGGATTCCTAAAGCCTGGACTCGCTTAACCAATGACAAGGAAGAAGCATTCTTCTTTCTCCATTCCTTCCTGCTCTCGTTCTTCTGCTGACCTCCTTCCACCAGCCGCAGCCATTGATCATTACCATCTAGAATGCTCACTATCTGCCTCATGCTCGGTCTTAGATGAGGATCAGACCTCGTACATGCCTTCCCCAATTTCACTAGCCTCATCAGTTCCTTGCGATCATACTCCTTGCCCAACCTCACATCCACCAGTTCCTCCAATGCTCTATCTTGTGCCTCAAACTCATTTACCCGATTAACAAGCAGCACCTCGGGTCGCCTGAAATCGACCGCCATCTGCCCACTCACCACCTCAAGCACCACCACGCCAAAGCTATAAACATCGGCCATCGTCGTTGCTTCACCTGATTCCATGTACTCCGGCGACATGTATCCAAAGATCCCCCTGACCGATTTGGTCGCCGAGGCTGCTGCTTGATGAGCATGGTCATTCCTGTGGAGGAACTCAGCGAGCGCAAAGTTGCTCAGCCTTGGGTTCATCATGTCCGGATCGAGAATAACCGACGATGAAGTTATGTTCCTGTGGATGACTTGTTCATCCCACTCCTCATGAAGGTAAAGAACCGCCGAGGCTAGTGACTTCACAATGTTGTACCTGTGTCTCCATGTCAGAGTTATCAGCTGACTTTCACTGCTGCTACCAATCTTCTGCTTGCGATGGTGGAAGAGCAAGTGACTGAGCAGGCGGCTAGGGGAGTAATCATAGATGACCAACATCTCTCCTTGCTCGGTGCACCATCCTCGCAACTGGATCAGGTTGCGATGGCGCAGCCTGCCTAAATTCTGAAGCTCGGCAGAGAACCTAGTTCTTAGTGCAGGGCACTGTGTCATTCCGAGCCTCTTTATGAGAACTTGATGGCCATCTTCAAGGATACCATAGTAAGCAGTGCCAAAATCAACCTCCGCTAGCCTATTTGAGTCGGAGAAGTTGTTGGTCGCAGTAACGATTTCCTTGAATGAGATCTCTCTAGGAGTTTCCACCATAAAGGAAGAAGCAGAACAGCATCTTCGGCTACCATACATAGAACTTCTATTGTTGTTGAAAGTACCAACAACATCACTACCATCAACACTACTACTAGTAGTGTCCAACTCCGCCGTTTCATATATGGTTTCCCCTACAGCCGTAGCATAAGTAGCCGAGATTGAGATTACCCTTGCTGTTGTGGACTTGGAGCTTCTTCTGCTGCTCCGTGTTGTTGTCGTAGTCCCGCTGGAGCTGCTGTTGGTGGCGGTGGTGTTGCTTCCGGAGGAGATCGATATGTAGCGTGGATGGGCTTGAAAAGAAGGAAGCGGCGGCAATTTGTCACCGGAGTTCCCCCCGGAGAGTGCTTCCACTACCCACTTCATATTCGGGCGAAACTGAGCGCTGTGGAGAGTACAGAGGAGACCCAGATGGATCATTCTTTCCATTTCGATCAGGCGGTAAGATCCATCTTCAAGCCTCGTGTCACCAGCCTGGAGAACCTTCCCTTCGTCGGAAAGCTGCCGGACCCAATCGAGCAGAACAATCTGATCATCAGGGTAAGCCAAATCCACCGCTCTTCTCCCCGCGACGACCTCCAGAACAACGATTCCGAAGCTGAAAACGTCTGATTTGGCCGTGGCGAGGCCCCTCTTCTGGAAACTCTCGGGCGGCAGGTACCCGATCGTACCGCCGATTCGGGTTGACTCCACCAGCCGGAACTGGTGGTTCCTCATCGACGGCGTCCTGACGCCGCCGTACTCCAACTCGTGCTCCAGCCACCGCGCCAGCCCGAAATCGCCGAGGCGGGCGTTGTAATTGGAATCGAGCATCACGTTGCTCGTCTTCACGTCGCGGTGGATGATCTGGGTCTCGAGCTGGTCGTGGAGGTAGTGGAGCGCCGCCGCCAATCCGCCCACGATTCTCTTCCTCTGCTCCCAATCGAGAATCGGCGGGGCAAATTCCTCCCCCGCGGCAGCTAGGTTTTCGGATTTCCGGAACAGAACCCGGTCGAGGCTCCGATTGGGCATGTAGTCGTAGACCAGTAACAGCTGGTCCTCGTGCACGCACCATCCCCTCAACCGGACGAGATTCCGGTGGCGGAGATGAGCGACGGCCACAAGCTCCGCCGCGAACGTCTTCTCGAACTGCTCCCCTCTCTCCGCCAAACACTTCACGGCGACCAACGTCCCGTCGCTGGGGAGAAGCGCTCGATAAACCCGCCCGAACCCCCCGCTCCCCAGCACCTCCTTCTCGCTAAACCCCTTCGACCCGATGTAAAGCTCCGAATAGCTGAAGATCCGCGGGTTATCGTACCCGACCCGCTCGTCGCCAATTTGGACTCCCTCCAAGTCATGAAACGCACCGGATCCCATCCTAGACCCCTTCTTTTGGTGTCGTTTCTCCGGGTCCGGGTCATTATGACACGAACTGACCCATTTGGAGCCGTAGATCCGCCTGACCATGGAAACAATCTGGTGACCGCAGCCACGGTGGTGCTTCTTCTGGCCGGGCGGTGGGAACTTGAGGTCGGCCGGGATTTGGTGAGTGGTGGTGTCTGATTGATCGTCGAAGTCGGTGGTCGGGAGGACGATGCAGAGGCGGTTGAGATGCATGGTGGCGGTGGGCGGGTGGTACTTTTGGTTTGGGGATTTCATGGTGTGATTTTGGGGATTGTGGGAAGTGGGAACTGGTGGGAGATTAATGAATGAATGTGGATGGGGAAGATGACGAAGAAAGGGAGTTGGTAAAATTGAATTTGGGCGGTGAAATGTGGCGTGGAAACGGGTGGGCTGCCTGTGATTATTATAATGATGTAATCAATTTGGGTTCTAGAGAGAGAGATGTGCTTTTTTGGCGCGGGTTAGTTGCCTTCTTTTCGTCTCTCCGACTCCTCCCGGCCCTTTATAATTTCAACGTTGGTAGGTTTGCATGGTTTTGAATTGTAGTTGTCAAACTACTCCCCAGGGGAAGAAAGAAGAAGAAAAGAACCTTCTTTTTAATGGCCTTTATTCTCCTAATTACTCTTTGGTCCCCATTGTTTGGTGTGGAAGTGGAGTGGATATGGAGATATCTATATATGTTCTATGGCAGCTCAAGTTCAGATCATATATTTGTATTCGGTCGGATTGGGACGACCAATATGGGTAGTAATATAAACAAAATAATATTTGGCAAGACCCATATGATAGTGTAGTTCAGAAAAAAAAAATTACTTGGAACTTTTACTTTTTTCTTTAATAAGTGGAGAAACAAATTATAACATGATAAATATAGTTAAATTATTAAAGAAGTTAAGTTTCTCACATATTTTAAACTTTATTATAGCTAATTTATGATGCGATAAAATTAAAATTCTGATAAAATTAAAATTCTAAATGATTTGAGTAAAATTACATATAATTCATACAAAATGAATCAAGAATATTGGAGCGGGTCAGGCCAAGTAAACTTGAAGGGAAAAACATACTATAATGATTAAGTTATCAGGTTAAAAAATATGAGGGACTGAAGAGTAAGTTAGGCAATAGACTACGGGGAATTCCGCATTTCAGAGCACCATTTGTCGAAGATTCTTCTTTCTTTTTTTGCCCTTTTCCGATTTCTGGCTGATCCAATCTGCAAGGCGTTGAATAGTACGCAAATGGGAAATTAGAGGGAGGTTCTTCTAGTTGATTGATTTCTTTGTTTTATTTAGGATAGGGCCTTTTTCTTCTGTTGTTGATAGAATAGAAGGTAGCTGTGCGATTGACCAGCGATTTCTGGTTTGACCAGAGTGAGAATTTGGCTGGATCACGCGGTGACCAATACAATACAAATACATTACTGATGTGGGTGGGTGGATGGCTGGCGGTTGGACCACAGTTGACCCGTTACACACATGAAGCCCACTAGTACCAGATCAGCCGTATCATATATCCGAATGAAGTGAGCAATAAGCAAAATTTTATTCTTAAGAGATTTGAATCATAGGGTCATTAGGGAAGAGTTGATTATTACCGTTACCGACTAATTTTTATTTTCCAAAATTTTGCATGTAAATTTATACACATATGACCAAATCCCACTACTTTAACTACCGCCTCAGTCTTATTAGTCACAAGCATATGATGGATGTATATATCTTTGCTAATTAATTCCGTCTCCATGGATACATGCACTTTTAAGCAATTACAAGTAACTTATATCACTCTTATAAACAAAATAAGTAGGACACTGAAAATCAGAATCCCAATGACGGTATAAATTAAGCTAAAAAGTATTTCATTAGTGTGCATAGCAATTTTTAACATTTTCATTAAAATTTGATTTTATTTTGTCATATAGCTTAAAAATATAGTAGCTATATAATAAATATATATTTGGCTACATCAGCTCCCTGCCAGCCTGTACAAATTAATTAAACCAACACTGGTCCTAACCGAACACCCTAGATGATAATAACAACCAACCTTACATAACAATTACAGATAATGACAATAATAATGATAATATTCAGCATAATTAGCATAAACTAAACGATGCTGATGGGTGAA